CTCTTAACTGCTGGAAAAATAAAAATATAAACAAATAAATAATAAATATGCAGGGCTGAGGCGATCTTATGGGCTAGGAGGGAATTTACTACAATTGTTCACCTAAACAGATTCAGCACCAAACTGACTTCTGAATGTTTCGGGCTCATAAGAAAAATGCTGCACTCAGACTTACCCCAGGAAGCATCCATTTGCAAAGGATTGTGGTAAATGCTGAGACTGAAGGCTGCTCAATGGACTGAAAAAGGGACCCTTGAGTGCTCAGCCACAAACAAGACACTTACATAAGGCTGGCAACCTCACAGAAGAGAGGACAGAGAGTGTTTGTTAGAGTTAAAGGCAGGGAGAAAGGCTGCAAAATGCTATGCTCTGGCATGACCCAGCCATTGCAGTCATGTCCCCAGCAACTGCAGCTACCTGCACTGGGCTGTCATCAGTCACCTGGATCAGAGAAGGACTCTTGGAACCACACCCCATCCCGCTGAACTGTTGGCTACAGGTGGATTCTGAGGGAGAGGCAGTTCTTGTCTTCACTTGTGAACCCAAGCTGCAATGGATGGTCCAAAACCCAGGGTCAAACAGGTGGCCCTGGTTAAGCTCAGTGAACCTCAAGACAGAAACTCAAAGATATGAATGTGAAAAGGGGACTTGAAAGGGGTGAGTTGAAGTTGACAGGTGTCTGAGAGAGATAGGAGATGGTACAAAGTGGACATGAAAAATCAGAATGCATTATATACATGTATAAAATAGTCAATGCAGAAAATAAAAATCACAGATCTTGAAAAAGGAACTTTTTGTTTAAAATATCATTTGAAGCTTTTTTGTTTTGTTCTGTTCTATTTGGTTTTTGTTATAACTGTGAATTATCACTGGATTATTTTTTTAAAACAAAACAATCACAGGCGACCTCCTGGACTGGAAGGCAGACTTGGCCTCCCAGCTTTGCTTCCTACTGCTGGCCAGACCACCATGGGAACCAGGAATGGAGGCTCATGGCTGGAGAGGGAGATGGACATCGAGTGCTGCCGCTCTAGTGCCAATGGGAGTGGACTGCCAAACTCTTCAAGCATCCCTCAACTGAGCTCATCGCCAACACTGACATGACTGAGCTTCTCCTTGGGGAGTCGAAGCTAGAGCAGCACTTGAAGGAGAAGCCCCTGTGGCAGGGAGCCAGTCCCCACCCCAGGCCCAGCTGACTGAAGTGTGCAAGCATTTGACTGCTGCCTTGGACTGAGGGAAACTTAAGTCAGAATTCCTACAAGAATCCAATCTGATCATGGCCAAGTTGAAGCTGCAGATAATTGCTGAACCTTACACTGCCAAAGATGAGTCTTGAAGAGGACTGTGCCCTTGTGCATTTATAACATGGTTCCTCAAAAAATCTCACAAGTCAACAGCCATCTGGATAATAATGGCAGTGATTGCTGATGCTGCTCCTCCTGGACCGACTTGAGTGTCTCGAAAGCCTTCATGAGCTTCTCCAGCGTGGTCATGGCAGCCTCCCCTCACCCCACAGCACACTGGCACACGTGGTGCTTCTCAACAGCTGAGAAATGATGCTGTGGAGAGGAATGGAACCCAGGCCTGAGAGCTGGAGCTGTAGTTCTTCCTGTGAGCTGGAGCTGTGGTCCCCTTCTATAAGCTGGAGTCATGGACCCTTCCCATGAGCTGGAGCTGTGGTCCTCTTTTGTAAGCTGCAGC